TCTCCCCGTTCTCGTTCTCTTTTCTATAGTTCAGTTCTCGGTCTCGGTCTCAGTGAGTACTGTTACTGTACTGTACTGAGTGAGTGAGTGTCTGAGTGAGTAGTTCTTTTTCTTGCTTTGCTGTTCCCGTTCCCAATTCCAATTCCGGTCCCTTCCGACCGATTCTCATTCCATTCTCGATATCGGAAAATCTCGCCATCATTAGGAAATAGTTATTTGTGCAACTAGTGAGCAAAGTGAGCAATTGACTCACTCGAGAGAAATCCTTACTCACGAGCCGTAGGCGAGTGAGGAATGGTTTCTCGAGTGAGGCAATTGCACTTTGCACTCGAGTTGCACATTATATTTTTCCTACAGTTAAATAAATTGGTTAAGAAACTCGACATATTTTTACACAGAAGTGAACTTTTAGTATGACATTTAATGCTGTGACAAATACAACAGTACAACAGCTGACCAACTGATTTACAGCCAGTGCTGCCAACGTATTTCGCGAGCATTACGACCTTGTCTGCATGTTACGCGCTCACTATTTTCGTGCCTTCACGTTGCAAGTCTGGAGTGAGACAAAGAAATTAGAGTGAGACAATGTTAACATTGTCTCACTGATGAGCGAATTGGCCACTTTGCTTTCTCAAATCAGTGAGAGAACATGTACATTGTTAGGTAACTGTAGGAAAAAATACATGATCAAAGGCAGTCAAAGCTCTTACTACATGAAGTGAAGCAGCCCAGAATGCAGATTCGATAGGTGTGTTTGCTTGTGGACATGCAGGTGGCCAGTAAACAGACATTTTCTCCTACAGTCACCCGATGAAGTGGGCTTCCTTGCACTGATAATATTACAGGAAACTGCTAATTACTGCATACTTACTTTTGTCACACAGTTTGTTTTTTCGAAGCCTTAGTAAGAGGTAAGCTGCTAACTGTGATAAATCTGAATACCATATATTTGTTTTATATATTTGTTTAGTATATTTGTTTGTTTGCCCCAAACGATTTCTTTATAGAAATGATCTGTCAACACAGTACATAACAGCATTCCACAGTTTCTGTTATCTCTTGACTTGTTCCTACAGCATATGGTGAGGCCGGGCTCTCAACTTGAGTGGGATCAAAGTGTCCAGTGATCAATTATTGTGCTTGGTATTGTATCTAACATGAAGCCATCAAGAAGCAAGGATGTGTATCAGTTATCTTATGATCATAATTCAATAATTCAACATGATTCAATTGAACATAAGTCTTCAGTCTTGTTAAGTGTATGCGATTAAGCAAGGTGTTTGATGTAGTGTCACATGATGTGCTTATTTCGAAAATGACAAAATATAGAGTTGTTGGTACAGCTCTAAAAAAAAAATCCGTTTCTAGCCATCTTGCCAATAAAAGACAGCTGGTTTCAATTAATTGGACCTCGTCCAGTGTTTAAAGCTTAACCCATGGGGTACCGCAGGGTTCGGTGCTTGAGCCACTCCCAGACAGCACACTTTCTCCTCAGGACATACCACGGATATTGCGACAGGCATAGTAGTCCTATGGGCAACCTGGGATATCCCCGGACAGCATATCCTGAGGTCATCCCAGGGTAGTCCTCAGGGGGTAGCGGATTTTTATCCCCCTGGAATTTTACCCCCTGGGCAAACGTGACGTCACAAACCAGGGGGTAAAATTCCGGCCGCGAACTTTTGAGTTTCGCGACATCAGCTCGATGGATTAAACGCGGAATTAAACATATATTTTCACGGTTGTGAGTTTAATCAGAACACATCAAATTATAAAAACCTAGAATGTACGGCCCGGATTTTAACCCCCCGGAATTTTACCCCCGGAATTTTACCCCCCGGAATTTTACCCCCGGAATAATTTTACCCCCGGAATTTTACCCCCCGGAATTTTACCCCCGGAATTTTACCCCCTGGCCAGATATAAATTAGTGAGAATGATTAATTATCGTCAATCAGTTTTAATTTAATGGTAAACATTTTATAATTAAGTAGCCTATCTTAATTTATATGTAACATTAACTAATCGAACAGGGTTTTAATATTAATTTTGAGATTCGAGTGTCAGGATTCGATCTTTGAAGCCATCTGTTGGTTATGATCAAAATAAAACAGCGAATTCTGTTTACTTAAGTTGAGATTACAAAATAAATAAATAAAGATAGGCTACTAAATAATGAAATGTTTACAATTAATTAAAACAGAAATAAGAAAATCAATCATTAAATTTCTAAAATCAGCCAGGGGGTAAAATTCCGGGGGGTAAAATTCCGGGGGTAAAATTCCGGGGGTAAAAATCCGGCCCGTACATCTTCAGTTGCCTAAACGCTAGTTATATGGACAGGGGGTAAAATTCCGGTTTTTATCGCTAATCTAATTAATCACGCTCTGACTATTTTCATTAGACTTCCAAATCCGCGGGGGTAAAATTCCGGCCGCGAACAAACTTTTGGCCACTCAGGTTACTACGTCATAGTGACGTCAGCTTTGCCCAGGGGGTAAAATTCCAGGGGGATAAAATTCCGGCGACCCGTCCTCAGGACATATGGGATGTCCCTGAGATAAAGTGTGCTGTCTGGGTGCTATTCTCGATCATGATAATGACATTTGGCTTAATGGCTCTACATTGCTTGTGTACCCTCAAGACGGATGCAGGGTTTTTGGATTGACCCGAACCCAGACAGCACACTTTATCCCAGGGACATCCCATAGTAGTCCCATATGTCCTGAGAATGTCTCGGGATATGTACGCTAGCCTCAGGATATCCCGCAAAATCCCAGGACGAGTACGAAATCCACAGGATATCCTACAATATACCGTAATGTCCCGGGATTTGTAAGTTAACCTCAGGATATCCTGTAAAGTCCCGGGATATGTACGAATGCCATAGGATATCCCAGAATGTCCCATGACATCCCGGGACCTGTACAAAATCCACTGGATATCCTGTAATGTCCCGGTAACAAACTGAAATAAAACTACTACCACTGATGAAATTTAGCCTATATCTAAATTTAAATGTTCAACAAGGCCAATATGTAATAATTTGCTTTATTCACTAGCGCTTTCAGAAACTAGGTTTCCATCTTCAGGCTGTGTTTACACTAGTACAAAAAGTAAATATTTACTTAGTAAATTAATTTTAAACGAAGTTAAAACAGATTATTTAAAGTATTATTTAGCATTAAATTTGCCGGTTGGGGTTAGCGCTGTAGGTTCATGGGTTTGATTCTAACCCGATTGGGTTCAATTCTAACACATTTGAGTTCAATTTTAACCCAATTGAGTTCAATTCTAACACATTTGAGTTCAATTCTAACCCGATTGAGTTTAATTCTAACCCGATTGAGTTTAATTCTAACACGTTGAGTTCAATTCTAACACGTTTAAGTTCAATTCTAACCCAATCGAGTTCAATTCTAACACGTTTGAGTTCAATTCTAACACGTTTGAGTTCAATTCTAACACGTTTGAGTTCAATTCTAACCCAATTGAGTTTAATTCTAACACGATTGAGTTCAATTCTAACACATTTGAGTTCAATTCTAACACATTTGAGTTCAATTTTAACCCAATTGAGTTCAATTCTAACACGTTTAAGTTCAATTCTAACCCAATTGAGTTCAATTCTAACACGTTTGAGTTAAATTCTGTTCAACCCAACTGTTTTATACCTGGTATTTCCTGTGTAATATGTTCCTCCCACCCATAAACCCCTGTTCCCATGGCCCAATTATGCTGGTTCGTGAACTTGTTCGAATAAACGTAGGTCTTCACGTTTGTACCAAATTTCATCAAAATCTCATCATTTTTGCTCAAGTTATCGTGCTAACGGGCAACGGACACATACACAGAAAACAAAAAGGTTTTCTCTTGAGATCTATTGCAGGGCAAAAATTTAAGAGTTATCACCTACGGTAATAGCTACTTCCCTATAGGGAAATTCGCTAATACATATTTAAATATTCAGGATATTGTCAGGATATTTTATTTTTTCCTTACAATGATGAAAAACTCTTCTTTAATTAACTAATTAGTTGCCCCCTGTTTAATCAACCACAATATTTGTCGAAAGTTTAGATGTATGCAGTTAAGGGGCACCTAGACGATCTCTTCACAAAGGGTGTGGTTTATGTGTCCACTTCAATTTTTATGAGTAGTTTGAGTACTTCAAAGAGAAATGTCTTGATAGGACATCTCTTTCAGACTGATAACATGGTTGATGTAGAGATATTTTTAATTAAATTAATATGAATAATGGGCCTACTTTTATTTTACATTCAAACATCCCTCCAGATCTGTTACTTCTCCAGCACTTTCATGATTGAAATAAAAGTTTATTAATTGACTCTTCTTCAAATGTTTGTTCGTATGTAGTTACATCTGGAGCTTAATTCAACCAGATAACACAAACAGGGCCTTCACTCATCATTCCTTTGCGGTAAAATCCCAAATCTGACAATCATTTTTAGTTAGGGTGTACATTTTTACAAACAAAAGTCTGCATGGAGCCCACATAAAAAAGCCGCAGGACAGTGCAATGACATTGATAATTTTAACACTACATTGCAGACAAGGTACAAGAGATATTATGCTCATTGCTCATGCTCCCATAGCTGGATACATATTGAGTGTGGGAACGCTCTGATAATAAGATGTGCGCACCATCCCAAGCGCCAATTAAAGTACAAGCTCAGGCCAATGCTAAATCTTTATTACTGTGCTTTATGGACCGCTTTCCCCGCCTAAATAAATATTTATCTGTATTTTTCTACAGAAAATGAGAGGTCTTGAAAAGTCTGCCATTAAAATATAATAGTGCAATACAATAAAACATTATTCATGTATTATATGTACTATTTCCTGCCTTTATGGAGCTACGCATACATTTTCTATAAAATAAAAATTAGCTGAATGGTGTGTGGTTAAGAAGAGGGATTATCACTAGGTAGGGAGATTACAGTTAAAGTATGAAACATAAATGAAATCACACACACTGAAGCAGTTAACACCTTTTTATTTTCACTAGTTGTATACAAATTTACAAACATACTGAAATTAATATCAGTTAGATTATGTGAGATATGTAATTACTATTGTAGATTTATCCTAATACAAGATTTTACTTGGACTCAACACATTAATCTCTTGTTTTCAATAAAAAATATATTACAATACATTTTGATAAATCAACACTACGTATAAATGTTTTTAATAAACTGTACAGATGAAAAGAACTGCTGTAGTAACTACTAGTTATTAGGAGTGTGGACAATTTAACACGTACAAATAATATAATATATTCATGAAAACGGACATAAAATTGAAAAACTAACAAATGCTTAACATTATTGGGTTTCCTGCATCAAGGCAATACAACATAATAGAACTGGAAAGAACCTTGACCCTCTGACATTATATTTAAGTTCTCAGTTTTCATATGTATATTAAAAAAAACCTATAGAATATTAATATATCTAAAGAAATAAACAGTCTTAGATACAACTAAGCACTGTACAACAACATGAAATGTACATTGAAGTTTTGTATATTTGCCATGCTTTATTTTACATTTGTTTCTATTCTTAGAGTATTAAACCTTGCAAAATTGCCACAGTATTTTTCCTGCACCATCTAAATTTTTATCAACAAAATATGATAAATAAATATATATAAGTTTAATTTGGATTTTAAAACATTTTTCCTCATTCTGCAGCAAAAACAGCCGTTTTTAATGTGTGCTTTAAGGGGCAAAAGTAATATTTTTACTCACTAGGGAGTAAAATTCAGCTAATGTAAACTGTTGTAAATTTCGATTGTGGCAATCATATCGATCAAAACTATATCGATTGATTGATTAGGTAACGTTATTGCCTATTGTTGTTGATTGCTCTACATATCAATAGTACTGTTACACAATCGTAATAGATGACATTATTGAATTACTTACTAATCAACTACTTATTTGAATTAACAGAAATGGAAACAAGCTGGAACTCGTTTTGAGAGGTTATCTTCACACACAAATTATTTCGTTTTCTAGCTTTGTTTGTTAATTATTGATGCAGTATGATGGCAAAAAAAATTATAGTTCACTGCACGGGCAAAAAGTGACTTTCTAACCCTTGCTTATTTTCCGACCTCGACCTCGGGTCAAAAAGAGTCATTTAGGCCCTAGTGATGACATATACTACCAAGCAATCATGAATGTGGTCTCGTGCAAATAAAAAATGCTCTCACTGGGATTCACAACATTAAAAATCATGACATTGTCATGTTTTACAATAATATTCGTACACATTTCGAGAAATAAGCTGGCTATACAATGATTCATGTTTCAAAAATATAAACATTCTTTCAAAGTAGGTATATTTAATTTACAAGATTTTTCACATGTATTAAATTTATCCCGGCTGTGGAGGATTTTTCATTGGTAGAGAAGATTTTTCTCCGGTGTGATCTGATGTATGTTTCTTCATATTGCTACTGGTTGTGAAGGATTTTATACACATAGTACACTTATGAGGTCTCCCTTCGGTGTGTACTAATGTATGTTCCTTCATACTGCTACTGGTTTGGAATGATTTTTCACATATACAGTCTACCCTTGGTGTGTACTAATGTATGTCTCTTCATATGGCGACTGGTTGTGAAGGATTTCCCACATAGAGTACACTTATGAGGTCTCTCTCTGGTGTGTAGTAATGTATGTTTCTTCATACTGCCACTGCTTGTGACGGATTTTCCACATATAGTACACTTATGAGGTCTCTCTCCGGTATGCACTAATGTATGCATCTTCATATCGCTACTGGTTTGGAAGGATTTTTTACATATAGTACACTTATGAGGTCTCTCTCCGGTGTGTACTAATGTGTGTCTCTTCATATCGCTACTGGTTTGGAAGGATTTTCCACATATAGTACAATTATGAGGTCTCTCTCCGGTGTGTACTAATGTGTGTCTCTTCATATCGCTACTGGTTTGGAAGGATTTTCCACATATAGTACACTTATGAGGTCTCTCTCCGGTATGCACTAATGTATGCATCTTCATATCGCTACTGGTTTGGAAGGATTTTTTACATATAGTACACTTATGAGGTCTCTCTCCGGTGTGTACTAATGTGTGTCTCTTCATATCGCTACTGGTTTGGAAGGATTTTCCACATATAGTACACTTATGAGGTCTCTCTCCGGTGTGCACTAATGTATGCATCTTCATATCGCTACTGGTTTGGAAGGATTTTCCACATATAGTACACTTATGAGGTCTCTCTCCGGTGTGTACTAATGTATGTTTCTTCATACTGCCACTGCTTGTGAAAGATTTTCCACATAAAGTACACTTATGAAGTCTCTCTCCGGTGTGTACTAATGTATGTTTCTTCATGCTGCCACTTCTTGTGAAGGATTTTCCACATATAGTACACTTATGAGGTCTCTCTCCGGTGTGTACTAATGTATGTTTCTTCATATCGCTACTGGTTTGGAAGGATTTTCCACATATAGTACACTTATGAGGTCTCTCTCCGGTGTGTACTAATGTATGAATCTTCATATGCCTACTGGTTTTGAAGGATTTTCGACATGTAGGGCACTTGTGAGGTCTCTCTCCGGTGTGTACTAATGTATGTTTCTTCATATGGCTACTGGTTTGGAAAGATTTTCCACATATAGTACATTTATGAGGTCTCTCTCCGGTGTGTACTAATGTATGAATCTTCATACTGCCACTGGTTGTGAAAGATTTTCCACATATAGTGCACTTATGAGGTCTCTCTCCGGTGTGTACTAATGTATGTTGCTTCATATGGCCACTGGTTTGGAAAGATTTTCCACATATAGTACATTTATGAGGTCTCTCTCCGGTGTGTACTAATGTATGAATCTTCATATTGCCACTGGTTGTGAAAGATTTTCCACATATAGTGCACTTATGAGGTCTCTCTCCGGTGTGTACTAATGTATGTTGCTTCATATCGCTACTGGTTGAGAAAGATTTTCCACATGTAGTGCACTTATGAGGTCTCTCTCCGGTGTGTACTAATGTATGTTTCTTCATACTGCTACTGAATTTGAATGATTTTCCACATGTAGTGCATTTATACGGACGCTTATCAAAATGAGTCAACAAATGTTCCTTTACTTGAAATAGATGAATAAATGTTTTTTCACATATCAAGCATCTAAAAGGACGCTCACCTGTGTGTAGATATATATGCCACTTTATTCTCGATAGCGTTGAAAACATTTTTCTACATATCATACATTTAAGGAGAGGCTTTTTAGTGATCTTAAACATTTTTTTGTATTCAATTACTGACTTCTAACATTTTAGATAAGCTAGAAAGTATATGGGTTTAGTCAGTTGTATGCATCAATCAAACCTGATCAACTTTTGCTCAAATAAATATTGTTATATGTATAAATACCATACAACATAACCTACTTCAGACATTTTCCTTTTTTTGCATGACTTTTCATGAAGTTTCGCCATTTCAAATTATCCTACTCGATGAAAGAAAAAAGTGGCTTCCATGTTTCGTGTCGTTTTTATAAATAATTCACATATACATCAGCCATATAATAGTTATGCTTGGTTTCATTTAACTTTTTAACTGTTGTTTAAGGAATTTTTAATACTTTACAGATTAGGTGAATTATCTTTCTTGCGACATGAATTAAAGCTCCTTATCCTCTTCAAATCTATTGTCTCTTCTGAAAAAGAGTAATATATTATATTAATTTATACATTTGTTGTAATCATTTTGATTTTTTTTATATATTTAGTTTAAACAATGATTTGAAAACATTACTAAAATTTATACTGGATCCAGAGAATTACAATAATGCAAATCAGAATCATAAATACAATTTAAATTAATGAAATTTAAATAAGTACCTATAGTAACGGGTGTCCATAAAATATTCATTACGTTTAAAATAGCCTTCATTGTTACAGATACATGATACATGAACACTACTACAAATCGCATGGGATATTTTGCAACTTGTTATCTTAATAAACAATGCCGTAATATGCTTCAACAATTGTAATTCCCTTTATGGGGAGAAAATCCAAGATGGCCGATGGTCAGTTGTGTGTGTGTGTGTGGTCCTGCCGACTCTTAAAGAAAGCTTAAACAGAGGGTTCTTTCCTTCAATTGTAGGAATCAGTTATGAAATAAAAACTGTTATCATACCTTAAGAAACAGAAGGTTTTTTTCTTTAATTGTGGGCATTTTATAAACAACCAATGAAAGTAAACAAATACCCCCGCCGCAGCAAACCTGCAGACTAAGCGAATTTCAACTTGTCTGATTACAATTTTACTAAAATATCTCCATAAATAAGACATATTTATTCCCTATTTATATAACATTAGATTTAACGAGTGCTTAGGTTTGCTGCTACGGGGAGGTTAAAAGTGTTTTTTGACCATACGTCAATAGTATAGGATGAAATAAATAAATTTGCCAAATTTTATCAATATATATCCATAAACAAGTAAACTAGAACAATTTTCATTTTCTCCATAAGAATAACATGGGAATTTAAATTACACTATTTTTGAATTTTCTCCGTGACCGTTAGGCATACAACAGCGCTTCAATATACTAAATTATTTCTTTTTTTAAGCTCTACAAAACGGTTTAAAAAGAAATTGCAAAATTTTTTGTTTTTAGGGTCAAAAATGGGAAAACCCCATTTTTGCTCATAAAACCCCCCATAAGCCCCCGTTCCCATGGTTTGATTATGCTGGATCGCGAACTCGTTTAAATAAACGTATGTTTACACGTTTTTACCAAATTTTATCAAAATCGGATCATTTTTGCTCGAGTTATCGCGCTAACGGACAAATATATATATATATACGCTACGCTACAAGAGAACTTCCATCGCTGCATGTAGGTCAAAAAGTATGGATCCAAGACTTAAAAAGAGAGGGGATTATTATCAGCTTAGGACAAGAACCAAGGTCATACTGGGTTAAGACAGGAAACACTACATTGAGAAGGAATCGACAACACCTTTTGCCTTACAAAGGTAATACAAATATATATATATATATATGAATTTGAATGGATGGTGTTTTTGGCCTCTAGGGACCTCAAAATGAAAAATTAAATCGGTCCCGGGTCCAGGTCTTACCATGAGTACTACGGTAATAGCTTATTCCCTATATGGGAAATTTGCTAAAAGCGTAACAATGGACAAAAACACTTTAACCACATGACCATGGGCACAGTGTCGTGCGACAAATTCAAAGTGATACCATTGACTTTTGGATACTGAAAGTTGTATCAATAGTACAACTGATAGACATAGACATATTTTATTTGCACATAACATTCTTTACATGTGTTACATACAGAATAGGTGCATTGTCAGAGTTAAAATTATCAGAATATAAAAAATAAAAATAGTAATCAAGATGATAATATAAATTAACAAAATTGAATGATAAAACTATTCTAAACTAAAGGGGCATTGTGAAAATCAGCAATTAAATAAAAGGCTCTGTCAATTAAGAGTTCACCTATTTTATCTTTAAAATTATTTTCGTTTAACAATTTATAGTTTGCAGGCAGCACATTGTACAGCCTCAGCCCAGCATATATAGTTCGGCCGCTTAGAAAACGACCTGCGCGCTAATGCTAAACCAATGCTGGAGGAGGTCGCTTTCTAAGCGGCCGAACTATAGTAGACTTTTTTTATAAAGGGTCAAATGGTGCCTTGGAAATCTAAAAATGTTTTCATATCGAGTATTATATCTATGGTTGATTTGAATTGATTCTGGGAGGTTGTTTTTAGCTGAATGAATGTAGTTTAGTGATTCCAAAATGTACAGTCCTATTAGGGTGTGGATTTTTAAATTTCGAAAAAGGTTTTTGCATGAACTACGTGGATGAGAGCTGGTCATAATACGGATAATGTGTTTTTGTAGCCTGAATATTGATTTGACTCCGGTAGCCTGACCCCATAAGATTATACCATACCTCAATACTGATTCTACATAAGCATGATAAACCATTTTCAGAGTTTCTTTAAGAACACAGTCCCTTAAGTGCAGAAATACAATTGACATGGATCTAAGTTTACTTTTTAATTGATTCAGATGTACATCCCATTTAAGTGATTCATCTATGTAAACACCTAGAAATTTATGAGACGTTGCCAATTTAAGGGATTCAATTTTATTACCATTGTTTCTGACGGAAAATTTTATTGTTTGCGTTTTTTCAAGATTAAGTTTAATCCATTGTTCAAGAACCAACCCTCCATGTCATGAACCACATTTTCAAGAGAAGATATCATTTCAGAAGTACTATTATTTTTTATCAAGGCTGTTGTATCATCTGCAAAAAGAATTAGTTCCTGATCAATGGCTTTAGGGAGGTCATTAATGTAAATTATAAAGAATAGAGGACCTAAGATGCCTTGGGGCACACCTGCCGGTAGGTTTTCCCATGGCGAATAGTACTTGATCTTATCCAGTGTTATAACAGTTCTTTGTTTATTATTAGAAAGGTAAGAACTCAATAGAGAGTGACAACTTCCCCTAATACCATAATCATTCAGCTTGAGTGATACTGTTGTATCAATGGTCAAAGGTGATACATCATCTTTATATATAATACGTGAAGGCGTTTTCTACGAAACACTACTCCTCCGTTAATAATGGGTGGATTTTTACAAACGATGTGTGAAAATTAAGTATTTTTTTGTGTAGACGCCCCCTTTCACCAATTCCTGTAAGAAAAGTCCTCGGGCTTTGCCCCACAGGCCATCTAACTCCAAATGTATTTCTTATGAAGAAAAAATTTTGTTTACTTATACAGACGAATAATTTGAATTAATTGCATACTACAACAGCTGTTCATAGTAAACACATGATACCACACACAAGAGCGTTCGTTTTCAGAGTGAGTTCGTTTTCAGATTCGATAACTGCAGTGGAGTGATTGATTAAACATTATCTTTGAGTTGACTGTTTTAAAGTCATCGGAAATTATGATTGTCATTCGTTTTGAAATAACGCCTGTAATACTTTACAATTGCTCGAATTCGAGCAACAGGTGCACTAGTATATATTAAAACGTGACAGGGGTTTTTTTTTTTAATTCACGATTCTGAATCAACCACTCGGAAGGATTTTCATGATTTTTGTGTTGAAAGAAAGATTATTTTGAGAACTACGAAATGTTGAAAACACCATTTTAGTTTAGGGTTTCAGTTTTTAGAAATTAAGTTTTAATTTTTGAAGTCTTAAATGGGTGTACTTATTTATACTATGAGTAGTGCATTGATACGTTAAATTATTTTTTTAAGTAATCTTTGTAATCTTCGGTTGGTTTAAGTGCCATACAATTTGTTTTAACTAACAGCTGGTTAAATTTAAAAATACTCTTTAGTAGAACTATGAGGTTAAATTAAAGATAGCTTTGCTGTCGTCGTTGTTTTCTAAGTCTACTGCACAAAGTTTACTAAGTCTACAACAATCTGTTTTGCAGTTGTAAGTGTCGAAATGAAAATTCCTCAAGTTCTGTTTTCACTCTTCTTCCCAGTTCGTTGAGTTGCCTTTTAATATCAAAACAAATGAAAGACATTCCAACCACATGTTTTATTTACAGTGTGTGGGATGAAAATAGAGAAGTTTGCACAATACATACTTTTGGTTGAGATTTTGACCACGGAGCGAGCTCTCGTTCCAAGGTTATGCACGCCTTGCAAAGCTTTTCCCTTTGGTCAATAGGAAATCTACTCTGAGGCCAGCTTGTACAGTTCTAATCTACAAATCAATAATTCGGCCTTTGCATCGGACGTATGCATCTCATATCTGGAGATTATCTATATCAAAAAACATACTCTTCAAAATTCAAGTGATCCAAAACAAAATTCTAAGAATAGCGGTGAATGCTCCCTGGTTTGTTAGAAACAGGCATATACATGAAGAGCTAGGAGTGGAGTCTATCATCTCAGCCTTTATTGAAAAAACTACCTCCAAATTTCTGAAGTCTTTAAACAATGTTCCTGGTGCACTAGCTTTTCATCTTGGCGAAGCAACTGAGAACAGGAGGCTACGTCGAAGGCTTTCTCAAGATCTATTGGATTAATAAACCTAAAGAAGATTAAATATTTTTATCTAAATTAATTATGTTACAGGGTTTCTCAGGTCTGGGCGAACACACGATGTTATTATTGTTATTTTCTTTTTTATTTTGTTAACACTTCTGTGAATAATGTCATCATTGAACCAGAAATAAATGCTGTAAAAAAGAAAAAAAGAACTATGAGGTTATTTTATTTACTCTGATTTTGTCATTGATTTAAGTAAATAAGCAAGATTAGAAGATAATTAGACCACCGAAATAAGTAATGACCATGATGTATACAAGTCAAGGCTCTGTACCCGAGTCTTAAAAAAGGATAAACAAATTATTTTACTGCTCAACTTTTTGAGGAAAGAGTAGGAAAAATAACTATTTGTACATGTTTTAATTCATCTTGGTAGCTTTTGTTTACAATTAATGTTTGACTGCTTAAACTTTGTTTGGATTAGGCCGGGAAATATTGATGTAATAAAAAAGGAGATCAAGAATCAGGACTTCTATATTACCACAACAACCTCAGAAGATTTTTATCCAAAGATATACCAAAATAGATAACATATACTAAACACAACGTCATCATTGACCTAGGATACTGCAATTAGA